TGAACCGTCAGCCTTTCTGCTCCTCTGATGCTGCTTGGCCTGCTGTGTTCATCCAGCTCCACACCTTGTTATAACAATCCCACAGCCTGCTTTCTACAACAGAGTATGCCTTCTGATTTTAAAAAAAAAATTAAAAGAACTGCAGATGCTGTAAATCAGAAACCAAAACAGAACTTGCTGGAAAAGCTCAGCAGGTCTGGCAGCATCTGTGGAGAGAAATCAGGGTTAATGTTTCGGGTCCGGTGACCCTTCCTCAAAACTGACAGTAGCCAGGAACGTGTCGGTTTTTATGCAGAACATAGGGAGGGGGTAGGGAGTAAACGATAGGTGAGGATAGAGCCCAAAGAGAGACAAGAGCAGTTGGATAGACAAAGGAGTTGATAATGATCAGGCTGGGAGGGTGAATAGTTGTTAATGGGGATTGTTAGTGACTAACAACAGGGGGTGTGTAATGGCAGGCTGTGGTAACAAGGCCTGGTGTGTGGGGTAGGGGGCTGGGACATGGGAGAGTTTAGGCCCTAAAATTATTGATCTCAATATTGAGTCCGGAGGGCTGCAGGGTCCCCAAGTGGAAAATGAGGTGTTGTTCTTCCAGTTTGTGCTGAGCTTCACTGGAACACTGCAGCAAGCCAGAGACAGAGATGTTGGCCAGGGAACAGGTAGCTCAGGGTCTTTTTAGGGTCAGACTACTGGGTGACGGCTTCACAGAACACCTACATTCTGTCCACAAAAAAGACCCTAAGCTTCCAGTTGACTCAAACCAAAACGTTAACTCTGATTTCTCTCCATAGATGCTGCTAGACCTGCTGAGCTTTTCCAGCAATTTCTGTTTTTGTACTAGGTCTGATACTGGTCTAGTTTCTTAGAGAAATAGCTCACTGGCTTCCCTATTCCCGCTTCGTCATCCTGTAACAAGATGGCACCAACCCCCAAATCACACACATCAACCACCATTTAGAAAATAAAAACCGAAAGAACTGTGGATGCTGTAAATCAGGAACAAAAACAGAACTCTGTGCTCTGAGGAAGGGTCATCGGACCCGAAACGTTAACACTGATTTTTTTTTTCTTAACAGACGCTGAACTTTTCCAGCAACTTCTGTTTTTGTTCACCATTTAGAAAATTCTGGAAAATTCAGGGGTGGTCAGCGCTGGTTCATTTATTAGGACTGCTTTCAGCCTCTTAAGGTTGCCTGGCATTTTTTTGACTTAGCCACTTCTGCTCGTTTCTTTCACAGGTTCATTAGGTACAGAGCTATTGTGCTGACTCTCTTTTATTTCCACTGCAGTTTGTTTCTCTGGGCCCTGACTGATAAGGACAAGTTGTTTGATTGGTCCTGAGTCTCCAAAGTCCACATCATGTCAGTAATCCTGCAAGAACTATCATTTGTCCTTTCTCAACAACAACTGTCACATAATCTCTCTCAGTGTCAGCGAGTTGAATTTTAGGAGGTTTGCTAAGAGCTGTCTATCTCTCCTTCCACCCTCACTCTCACTGTCCCTGTCATCTTCCACTACTCCAGCTCACACACTTGCGCTTCCTTAACTCTTCCTTGGGATGATATCTTCTCAGTATGTTTATGTTGCAAACAGACTCTGCTTCCTGAGATCAGGAGTATTTATCAGAGAAATTGCATTTCTATCTACTTTTTATAGAACACTGAATTAAGTCAGATACTTTAGAGACTTTTAAGAGACTCTTGGATAGGCACATGGAGGATAGTAAAATGTAGGGTATGCAGGGTAGAATGATCTTGGTAGGATAATAAGTCGGCACAACATCTTGGGCCGAAGGGCCTGTACTGTTCTATATTCTATGTTCTATGTTCACTTTGATGTTCACCTTGCAAAGGCAACAATATCAGAATTCCTCCATCTTCCACCAGAAATATTCCAGTTGCTGAATGTTTGCCTGCCCATTCTTTCATTTTCCCCTGTGAAACTTTGAAAAGTCCTTGCGTTACCCTACAGGCTCCTGTGAGTCTTTCTAGCAACATGGAGACATAATACAGCATTGCAGATTTGTCTGGCCTACTGTATTTGCTGCTCACAATGTGATCTCCTCTGCCCTGGGGGGGACAGAGTGCAGACTGGCTGACCGCTTTGCGGAAGACCTCTGCTCTTTCTCAAGAATGACCCCGAGTTTCCAGTTGCCTGCCACTTTAACACACCATCGTGTTGCCTGACCAATATCTCTGCTTTGGGCTTGCTGCAGTGTTCCAGCGAAGCTCAGCGCAAGCTGGAAGAACAGCGTCTCATTCGGGAACTCTACAGCCTTCAGGAGATGGGGGGATATGGAAAACATAGACATTGATAAACATGGGCCAGGACTTCATAAAGATGTGGTATGATTCTGTAAAACATGTTGTACATGTCAGGGGGTAAGTCACTGACTCCATCCCTAACTTCACTGGTGGGTAAGTTGTTGGAGGGGATTCTGAGGGACAGGATTTATATGTATTTGGAAAGGCAAGGACTGATTAGGAATAGTCAGCATAGCTTTGTGCATGAGAAGTTATGTCTCGCTAACATGACTGAGTTGTTTAAGAAGGGGACAAAGAGGATTGATGAAGGCAGAGGAGTGGACGTTGTTTATATGGACTTCAGCAAGAGGTTTGACAAGGTTCCACGTGGTAGACTGTTCAGAAAGGTTAGGTCACAGGGAGAGCTAGCCACTTGGGTTCAAAATTGGCTGGAAGGTAGGAGACAAATGGTGATGGTACAGGGTTATTTAAGGGACTGGGGGACTGGAGGCCTGTGACCAGCAGGAATGGTCAGTAATTTGCAGATGACAGCAAAATTGGTCAGGGGTTGTGGACGGCGAAGAAGGTGACCTCAGAGCACGACAGGACTGAGATCCGATAGGGTGAGGAGTGGCAGATGGAGTTTAATTTAGTTAAATGAGAGGCGCAGCATTTTGGAGAGGCAAATCAGGGTAGGGCTTATACATTTAATACAATGTCCTTTTATTGTTCATGTGCTCCATTGTAGGAGTGCAGTGAAAATCTTTTACAATGTCTGCGTTCTTATGGTGACATCTTAGGTACAGGTACAGGGGAACAACTCTTGCATACAGCAGGGGGATAAAAGTAGTTCCTTAATTACAGAGTTGATAGTAAGTTAAAAATGTTAGGGGGTTAACATTACAGTGTCCTATTGTCCCCTCACACCGCTTTCTGTCCAGGACTTGCTGCCTGCACACAGCTCCAGGGCTGCTTCCCATGTGCTGCTCCGGGGCTCACGGCCCGCGCGCTGCCCCCCGGCTCACAGCCCATGTTCCGGGCTCACAGCCCGCACGCTGCTCCGGGGCTCACAGCCCTCGCACTGCTCCAGGCTCACTGCTCACGGTGTTCTGGGGCTCATGCTGCATGCCCACAGAACCGGAGCACAAGGCCCTGTTGCCGGTGCTGGCTCTGCTGTGGGACTGGGCCCCCTCACTCTGATCCCCCATGGGACTGGGCCCCCTCACTCCGATCCCCTGTGGGACTGGGCCTCCTCACTCCAGTCCCACCTTGGGACTGGGCCCTCTCACTCCAGTCCCTC